AGGCCTGGTGATGGTTTGCAGGCCAGCCACTCTCCCTGGCAACCCAAGCAGAGGCCCTGGTATCTGGGGTTTACTTATCTTCTATAATTGAAACTTTGTAGCCTTCAGCAGAGGCCAGGGCCAGCCAGGAAGCCTGGCTTCCTCCATTGCCTGGGACAACCCAAGCCTCCTGCTTTCTCTGTGGCTACTGCCATCTTGATTGGGATTTATTTATATTCTATAATTAAAACTTTGTAGCCTTGAGCAGAGGACAGGGCCAGCCAGGGCGGGTAGGAAACTTGGCTTCCTCCATTGCTGGGAAAACCAAGCCTGCTGCTCATTTCACGGCTGCAGCCATCTTGCAGGGTGGAGAGGGGAGTTGGCATGCAAGAGGCAGCCAATCAATGTTTATTTTTATCATTGATGTTTCTATCTTCCTCTTCCTTCCTTTCTATTTTTTTTAATATATTTTATTGATTTTGTACAGAGAGGAAGGGAGAGAGATAGAGAGTTAGAAACATCGATGAGAGAGAGTCATCGATCAGCTGCCTCTTACACACCCCCTACTGGGGATGTGCCCGCAACCAAGATACATGCCCTTGACTGGAATCGAACCCAGGACCCTTCAGTCCCCAAGCCGACGCTCTATCCATTGAGCCAAACCGGTCCTGGCTTCCTTCCTTTCTAAAATCAATTAAAAATGTATATTTTTAAAAAGGAATAGAAGCTAGGCTTCTCACTGTGATGTGGGAGTTACAGGTAAACAAGGCTAAACTTTCCATGTAATAAAAAATTAGAATTGAAGTCATCAGTATGAACTTATGTTTAGCTTAATATAGATAAAGACAGTTATATATAGAAAATTTTGCATATATATATATATTAGTGTACACATAATATATATATTAGTGTACACATATTATTTCCTCACTCTTTTAGCTGAGAGGGCCAAGGAATAATGCTGCTTCAGTAGCAAGAAGCACACCTAGCACCCAGATCTTGGTTTCTAATACCATTTATAATAATAAAAGCATAATATGTAAATCGAGGGAAGGTCCACTCAACCAGTCGCTGCCCCCCTCGCCCTCACCATCTGGATGACCATGCTAGTCAAGCTGGGTGCAATGTGATTGGCTGGGTGGCCCTGCAATCACCCCACAATCGCCCCACAGAGGGAGGCCCGGGCTACCCAGCCAGCAGCACTGCAGCAGGTGTGTGGGGCCGGCCAGTGATAGCTCTGCAGAAGGAGGCGCAGGCCAGCCAAGTGATTGTACCCCATGCTTGTCACCTGCAGAGGGCGGTGGGCAGCTCTGTACAGATGGCAAGCAGTGGAAGCGGCAGGGACAGCTGCGGGCAGCCGGGGGAAGGAAAGCCCTGATAGGCCCTGATTGCCAGCCAAGCCTAGGGATCCTACCCAAAGGGTCCTGGATTGCAAGAGGGCACAAGCTGGACTGAGGGACACCTCCCCTCCCTGTGCATGAATTTCATGCACTGGGCCTCTAGTTCTCCAATAAAAAATAATCAGAACTCCTTGAAGAAATGACTGATTCAAAGACAGGACCAAAAAACATACAAAATGAGCCAGGAGTATCTTTTAGTTCCAGAAAGTAAATAAGTACTAACATAAGAAACACACACACACACGCACACACACACACACACACACACATTCACCCACACAATGATAAGGGCACATGAAATGGACACAGGAGCCAACTGAAAGAACTCCTAATGGCCAAAGCTGGAACAATCAGAGCAAAAATAAAATAGTATTAAAGTATGAAGTAAGTATATATATGCACATACCAATAGAATAATTAAATAATTTGAATAAAATAACTGGAGAAGGAAGAAACAAATCTATGCAGAAGAATTCTACATAATTTATGCAGCTATTTTGCCCTCAAGGAGGTAAAGCAAACTCCCTACTTTCATATAGTAACTCCCTTCAAAGAATACAATGTGGAGCCCTTGCCATTTTGGCTCAGTGGATAGAGTGTCGGCTCTTTACAGTGGAGAAACATGATAAACACTGCCTCAGCCAGGCGATCAAGGTCAACATCAACAGTCATAAGTCATGGTGATCAAATGGTCTGATATGATGTGGTTTTTCCTCAAAAACTTCAGTATCTTATGGACTTAAGAAATTTTTTATAAATGCTCTTTCTGATGGTTCTCCCATTTGATCTTCTCTCTCTTTACGTAGGTCTAGCAAAATGAACAACCTTTTGGGCATCATGAGTATACCATGTCTTAATGACCCATATATTCTAAATTTACTACCTGGAATTACCTTGAACATTCATACCTTGTGTGATTATTTTTAGGGTGTTTCCTACACTAAAATGTTTGTCTCCCTCACACTTTTTCTAAATTCAAAATCAGGATAATCTTTCAAAGTTCACCTCAAGTATTTCCTCCTCAGGGAGAAGAAGCTGCTCTTTTCTCTGAAAGTCATAATAGTGTGTTTCTCCATCATCTCATGGGCATACACCAATTTTTTATAAATGCTGTTTCTAGATGTTTATAAGCAATGTTTATAGACATTTCTCCTATTGTGCTGTAAGCCTCTTAAGAGTAGGGTCAATATAATGGTCTCTCTCGCTCTCACACAGTGTCTGACATTTATTTATTCAACAGTTATTGCATGTTTACCATTCAGTACCATTGAATGAACAGGAGGGAGGAAAATTACTGAGAAAAAGTAAGAACTAACTATTAATACTATGGGGAAAACTTTCCAAAGTCAGGAAAGCTCAAGGAAAAAAATGAGAAGAAAAATAGTGATACAGGAAAGAAAAATAGCTTTACTGAAAATATTGACAAAAAACCTTCTACCCCAGAACTGATTTATTTTTCCAGCCAGTGCATATGCTTCTAAGTTAAAGGTCTCTGCTTTACCTCTTCACCCATTTAATGTGATCTGGGACCCCTGTGGTTTGTGTATAGAAAGCTGGTAGACTCTGGGTGAGTAAATAAATCTAAGCAATGTTCATTTTCAAAAGAAAACATGAATGAGCAGTAAGAATTTAGTGAAGTAAATAGACAAATCTTTTTCTCATGACAGAGGTCTGAAGTTCAACTTACAACTGACATGCCACTGCATGGGTTCTTAGGAAAGAACTTTGCTTTTGATACTTTCTATGAAAGTGAAACATGTTGCTATCTCAATGTCTATATACATTCAATTTATTTTAAATATCATTTTTGTGTGGCTCTCTTTATATACTTGTTTCTTATTTCTCCTAGTATAGATTAAATTACAAATTTCAGAGCATCGGTGCCAAAATATATTTTTCATTACCCTTGTCAAACAGTTTCTGATAGGGCAATTTTAACTTGGTCGGTGCTCCATTCAATTCTGAGGTCTGTCTTTCCCAGATCCAGGCCTCCTGGTCTTTCCCACTGAAACTTCAAACTCTCTGTACATGTCATGACCCATCATTCACCCTAAGAATGCAGGAATGGTTTCTGATTTTTAAACAAGGACATTGAATTCTGAACCCAACATTTTTTAATTCCCCAAAACAATTAACTTCATAAAAACTGTTGGTTTGTTTTTCAGAATCACGGAAAGCTGTTTAGTAATATTAAAATTCCAGTATATATTTTTAAATTGCCTTGTGGCTTTATTGCTTTGTTTCCAGTGCCTTCTCCTCTAATCTGTCATTGGCCACCTTCCCTGAACACTTCCAAAATCTTCCTGAAAAGCCTGTTATGTCCTCACACCTGATGGAGCAAGGATAGAGACTGAATCTGCCACCTTATTAGGGTCCCCATTCACTTTTAATAAATGCTAATCCATTTTCATTTGTAATTGTAGGGCATACTAAATCTATTAATTTTCAACATGCTTCATGTAAAGTGTCAGATTAAATCTGAAACAATAAATACTCCATGAACTGTTAATATGACTACAGATTTTTTAAGATCCCGGCATGGTAGTGTCTAAAGCACATGTGTCAAACACAAGGCCCGCGGGCCAAATTCGTCCCGCCAGGCCTTGCAATGTGGCCCGCACCGCGCTGTCATCACTGCACTCCTCTGCGTTTCCATCACAATGACAGTTTATGACTGTTCAGTAAACCATTTGGCCCGCGATTTAGGCTGGATTTTAGATTTTGGCCCCTTCTCTGATTGAGTTCGACACCCCTAGTCTAAAGCATTCCAACATGGCATCAGTTCAGCTGACTTCAAATTCTGGTTCTGCCACAGGTTAGGCAGCCTTCAGCAATATTTTTTTCTGGATCCCTGAGCATCATTCATCTGTCCAGATATTCTCTGTGGAGCATCTCTTGCAAGTCATGTATCAAGGTCACATTGACCTTCAAAGAGCTAAGCTTCCTCATCTTTAAAATAGAACTAATAATGCCCATCTTGTAGGATTGTAAAGATTAAATGGCTCCTCCTATAGATGACCTTCTCACCACTTTTACTTTACTCCTCCACTATCTTCCCCCACTTTCTTGTCCCTACAGGATGATCCTTGCTGAAGCTCTTCAAGATGAAATGACCTTTTTAGAATCAGACCAGGCCAGTTCACAGGAAGCCACACTTTTGGACAGTTACTTTGGAGGCTGTCTGTGTGGCCCCTGCACAATTAGGTGAACCAGGGCCCTGATTCATGACACACCATCCATCGTCCAAAAAAAAAAAAATGGCTGGGTTTCCTCCATCCAATTGTTTATTCCTCCCACGGTATCATTTCAAGGTGCCCAATAAGAAGGAAATGACACAGTATCTCCTCTTTTACTGGAGAGAAGTTAACTCGTCCGTGTTAGTTGCTTGGAGATTCCTCATGCATCGTTCATTAAAACCGGAGGAAGATGGATAAACACACCTGCATTTAAATCTACATTCCATGTGGTGGATCCTCTCCCAAATACACAGCTGTTGGGAATTATTGGTTGTCAGACTAAAAACTGAGGAATGTATTTCTAAAGGTGTTTGTGTGTTGTTGAAGTATAAAGTGTAACTCTGAGAAGACTCGAACATTCAATGCTATGTGTATTTATTCCTAGATTCTGTTAGAAGCTGTGTAGCCAAGTTGTTCTTCACCTGCTCCCTGAAGGGTCATTACTGCCTGTACAGTAAGTCCAGTTTTATTCTCATCAGCCAAGAGCCTCAGCCATGGATCCAGATCATGTTTCTGTTTCAGCAGGTGTGTATAACCTAAGTTCATCGTGGCTCCTTGGTATGAGTTTATGATCATTTTTACTGAATTATTATTGGACCAAAGTTGATATGTAGGGAACAGTAACACATACACATTTCATCACTAATTTTTAATAAGGATTTAAAAAATATTTTAGGATACTTTTCTTATAAAAAGTTCTGGATTACTACGTAATCAGGAGACCAATTTTATTAATATCTATAATAATAAAAGCATAATATGCTAATTAGACTGGACCACCTTCCAGACATCCTTCTGGATGAGCTTCCTAACAAAGCCAGGGCTGTGAGGGCCGAGCCCCTGGCATGAATTTTGTGTATTGGGTCTCTAGTTTATTAATAAAGGAGGAGAATAAAAGGGAAAATACTTTTTTGTGAAACAACAAAAATACCAGCTTATTTGGGGGAAGAGCTAGCCTTTATTTATAGTTTTTCAATCTCCCGTTAATTTTCACGTCAGCACATCCTTTTAGACATTGTTAAAATACTGGAATGCTATTTTTTCCCACAAAATATATCACTATAGATAAAATTTCATAGTGAGAAACTTTCAACTTAAAAACTAAAAATTTTGATGCAAATATTTTAGCATTAAAAAAAGATTCTTATTTGAGCTAAGTAACAAAATGAACTTATGAATGAAGTGAATCCAGAATATACAATAGAAGCATGGAACAGAGTGTGGAATCTCAGAGGGAAGGTAAGGGAAGGTTGGTGGATGGAAGGTAATCAACCAAGGACCTTGAACACATATATGCATGGCCCATGAACACAGACAATGGGGTGGTGAGGAGGAGGGATGAAATGGAGGGGTCAATGGGGGGAAAAGAGCAATATATGTAATACTCTCAACAAAGAAAAAAAAGAAATGACATGAAGGCAAAAAAATATATATATATTCTTTTATGGAAATATTTATCTCAAATGCATTAAGTTTTCATGTAAATTATAATATCCTGTACAATAAAAGGCTAATATGCAAATAGACCTAATGGCAGAACAACCAAACAACCCATTGCTATGATGTGCACTGACCACCAGGGGTCATACATAGAACATGGCAGGTGTCAGCAGCAGGTGCAGAGCGTGGAACATGGGATAGTGGAGCAGGTGAGCACGGGCACCAGACAAGGCGAGCGCCAGTCACTGTCATAGGGGTGAGCCTCTGAAAAGTTTTTGCTCCCATGTGCCACGGTCCTGCCTGGTGCTCACACCTGCTGCCAGCACTAGAGCCACTGCTTGTGCCCGCTGTCTGTGCCTGGTGCCAGCCCCGATCACCCCTGAGAGCTTCTCCACCTCCTCCTGCTCCTGAAGGGCGATCGGGGCAGCAGCTGCCACCCGCACCGGCTGTTGGTGCGGGCCCCAATCGCTCCACACTGTCAGCCGATGAGAGCAGGGTTAGCACAGTCAGCATGTGAGAGGGGTGGCAGGAGCGAAGCTGCAGGCAGACAGGGGACCAGGTTTGTAGTGGGAGGGGCTGGGCAGAGGTGTGGAGGTTGGGCATGGGTGGAGACCCACCCCTGTGCCTACCCCAGTCTCAAGGCCCACAATTCCATTTGATGTGCATGAATTCATGCACTGTGCCCATAATAGATTATAAAGTGTTACTAATACAAGAGACCTTGGACATCCTTTTTACTGATAAGAAAATTTAAGGGCAGAATTCAGATCACCTGACTCCTCAACAAGTGGCCTTTTCATTATTGCACACATGTTAAAAAATAAAATGAATGGATGCAGGCCAGTACAGAAAAAAAAAGGAGGGTAAAGCAATTCAAATGCTGCAGGATGCTTAAAAATTAGGCCAAGTGGTAAGATAGTTTATTTACTTCTATTAATAAAATATTTATATTATACCCCCTACAAAAGTCACAACCAGGCAGTTATATTTTATAAATAAAAGCAGCTGAATGTATCATAAAATGGGACTATAGTAGTTAACTTAAGACTATCTATCACCTTTTCCTGTAAGACTTAATAACTCACAGCTCATGTTTTAATGTGAAACAAGTTGTATTGGAATAAAAAAATAAAATAAAAAACACCTCACAGCATTGATTTTTGTTCCATTTCTTAAAAGAATGACCTTATTTTATTTTACTTACAGTTTTTAAATAGTTTTCATCAGTGATTTTGTATTTGGTTTGATCTTTGATTTTGTTCTTAACAGTTGTCAGTTTTCTGAAAACAAACCAAGAAAACTTGCTTTTATTTTTGCCCCTTTATCTTATTTTATTGACATAGTCTGATATTTTGTCTTTTTCTTTAAGCAAAATCATCCAAAAGCATGTTCACTAGTATACTACTTTTCTTCTTTGTTCATTTTACTGTAATGGTTCCTTTCTTTTTCCATAGCTTTGATATTGTGTGGTCTGGATAAGCCCTGACTTCACAACATCAATAAAAGCTTGGAGTAAAAAACAAATCTTTGATTTCATGATTACAAACCTAGCTGGATAGACTCTTCTGTCAATTTAACAGATTCATGGATCTCTCTAACCCACTGATTCCAGTCTAAATGCTACTCTTTGGATTGGTCATTAATAAAATTAGGCTCTGCTTCTCTTTATTTTTTTAAATATATTTTTATTGATTACAGAGAGGAAGGGAGATAGATAGAAGCATCAATGATGACAATCATTGATCAGCTGCCTCCTGCATGCCCCCTACTGGGGATTTAGCCTGCAACCTGGACATGTGCTGTGACCGGGAATCAAATCTGTAACCTCCTGGTTCATAGGTTGACTCTCACCCACTGTGCCAAAATGGCCAGGCTCTGCTTCTCTTTAAATGAAAGATCATGTGCTACATAACTTTCTGGTAATTAAATAAATTCCCAGATGTGTCCACATTATGGTTGTCTAATCAGCTTACCTGGTACTGGCTCTTAGCCTTTTTTAATTTGCACGCCACTTAGAGTATGAAGTTTTTCACTTTTCCCCACTCAGTTCAAGAAATAGCTCATCTTCATAGTAATGACATTTTCTCAAGGGGGAAAACTTACTAATTTTTATTTACTAAATAGAAATTTCTTTTTTTAATATATTTTATTGAGTTTTTACAGAGAGGGATAGAAAGCTAGAAACATCAATGAGAGAGAAACATCGATCAGCTGCCTCTTGCACACCCCTTACTGGGGATGTTCCTGTAACCAAGGTACATGCCCTTGACCGGAATCGAACCTGGGACCCTTCAGTCCACAGACTGATGCTCTATCTACTGTGTCAAACTGGTTTCAGCTAAATAGAAATTTCTTATGCACAAACTACATAGAGAGTTTCATAAGTCAATGGTTGGAGGTCACTGTCATAGAAAATAGGATTTATAAGCCAATACTATAATTTTGTCATACTTTAGCATAAAATATAATACATAAATGGTTTTATGTGTATATAAATAATATTTTATACTCTCTGTTACATTCTATATGTTTTTATAAAATTGTTCCTTTGGCCAAAACCGGTTTGGCTCAATGGACAGAGCGTCAGCTTGGGGACTGAAGGGTCCCAGGTTCAATTCCAGTCAAGGGCATGTACCTTGGTTGCAGGCATACCCCTAGTAGGGGGTGTGCAAGAGGCAGATGATCGATGACTCTCTCTCATCGATGTTTCTAACTCTCTATCTCTCTCCCTTCCTTTCTGTACAAAATCAATAAAATATATATTTTTAAATAAATAAATAAAATAAAATTATTCCTTTGACTTGAAATGCTCACATTTAAAGTTATTGTATAATATCACAACATGTAAATAACTATTAAAAACAATAGATTAGTAAATATACAATTTAAAATTTTCTTTGAACTTTTTATCTTTATTAGCTTGAGTAAAATATACATAAATGTGATTTTTTTTCTTTACATTAACAACCTTACTATCTAACACTTAGAATATCTTAAAGTTCTAGGAATATCCATCCATTATACATTTTAGGATTAAAAATGTTTTTTGTTCCCCACACATCTATTCACAATGTTCATATTTGAATATGTGTCAAATGAACACTCAATTATTTAATTTCTAGTCTTCATAATCTTCTCTGATATTTGTGCTTTAGATTTAATTTTATCCATTAATTCTCAGTGCTTTGAAAAATAAATATTTATAGTGACCATTTTCCCATTGGGTTAACATGCTTGGGAAATGATTGAAATAAATACTATGTTATAAAATTAGGCACATTTATAGAGATCACTGTCAACTGCCTTGAAAATCTTATTCAATACTTTTAATTTTTCTATTAAAAAAATGAAAAGCCGAAAATATATCATATGTTCAATCTTCAAGGTAGCTTTGTTCTTCTATTTAAATTTAAACCATGTTAAAGTTCAAACCAAGCCCAAATAGTGACTGTAGCCAATCAAACAATCTCAGTGAGACGAGAGACATGTTTTTCTCACTAATGTCCTTTCAGAGCCTATTTCCGGAGCCCCTGTCTATCCAGAGCCGTCCTGTGCAATTTCTCAGATCTCTGTGGGAGAAGACCCAGGTAGAGGGAGCTCATAGCTTCGAAACAGCCATGCTGGAGTCCACATTTCCACAGCAGAAGGTAAATGCTTCTTTCCCGGTTTATGTTATTTTAAACTAAGATTCAAGATTATCTTGAAGCAGTTCGCCTATTTCTCAACAGTTCCATTTTTTCCTTCTCTTACTTGATCTTCTTTTATTATTATTTAAAAAAAACACTTAAGTAATATAGCACCAAATTGCATGTGGTGCTACAGTGGCCTCAGGGAGTGGTGTCAGTAGACGGGGTCATTGCCTACTGTGACTTTGTTAAATCAACATTTGTGAAGTGGGGCACAGAGTGCTGGAAGGTGAGCCCCGCACAACAAAAGACCATAAGAGAAACTGAAATAGACAGGTTTATTACTCACAGGTCCTAGAGGAGGTACATAGCAGGCCTTGAGGAGCCAATTGGGGAGGTGCAGACAGAGAGAGGGAGAAGCGGGGAGGGGGGGGGCGGGGGGGGGCGGGGAAGGTTCTGGGACACATGCCTTTATTTGGTCTGTGGAGAGAGTACTTTGGGTTTCCCAGGCTAAGGCCAGATTGTCCAATTCAAACCAAAAAGAATGGGGTTTTTGGTAAGCCCATGAAAGTCTTATCTAAGACACACCCAAGGAGAAGGCCCTGGGAAGCAGAGAAAACTTGATTACAGGGCTGCTGGGGAAATCATAACAGAAACTTACATTTGCTCATGACTCTGTAGGCTGTTGTCTGGAACGTGCGCTTACATTAGGTGGCCAGTGTTGGTTTAAGGCACATGTGTCAAACACAAGGCCCGTGGGCCAAATCCGTCCCGCCAGGCCTTGCAATGTGGCCCGCACCACGCTGTCATCACTGCACTCCGTTGCATTTCCATCACAATGACAGTTTATGACTGTTCAGTAAATCATTCGGCCCGCGATTTAGGCTGGATTTTAGATTTTGGCCCCTTCTCTGATTGAGTTCGACACCCCTAGTTTAAGGCCACCGTGGGCTGCGTGACCAAACAAGATGGATGCCAAGGCAGCAATAGACTGGAGTAGCTTAGTTATACATTGGCACTGTAGTTTGAGGCTCATAAACTGACATGGTACAATCCACTAAACGCTACTCAAAAACTACTCATACGACATGGAATAGAAAACATTTTATAAAAGAACATGGGCTCTGGGATCAAAAGGGAATGAGCACCAGTGAACTGGGCTCCAGATTTTTCAGTGCCTTTTATTTCTTCCTTCCAAACTTCCTCTCCTGCCCTTGTCCTCTGCAATCACCACAGAGCAGAAAAAATAAATGAAGATAAGGTGAACAGGAAGAGAGAAAGCATGGTCAGGGAGAAGGAGCTGTGCTGAGGCAGGCAAGTATGACTTGAGACCTAGAGCATTTTAGGAGTGTGGAAACAGGGCCATATCTCTCAGGACACAGTGGCCTGAGACCACCTAAGCAGGCCCCCAAACTTGGAAAAGATCAGAATGTGGAACTACACCCATCCAATCAGTAAAGTGAAACTGGACATGGACGTACACTGATGTGGTCAGTTTTGTGTGTGAGAGAAGTCACAGGCCTGAGCATGGAGAGAATGATTGGAGGAATGCTGACTGGAGGCAGGAAGACTACCTAGGAAGCTGTTACTGTAATCAGGTAGGAAATGAAGGCATGAATCAAAGCTGGACGTTGTAGGAAGATGATGAATGTAAGGTTCTTAAAGAAGTAGAATTAACAGCACTCGGTGCCTGATAAGGAAACTGGAAGAACCAACGATGACTCTAGGCGCATCGTGTGGGTAAATGGATGATGATGGCTCCATCCTAAAAAAGAGAGGCCACAAAGAAAGCCACTGTGGAAAAAGAAGGTAAAGCATTCTGGTTTACATATTTGTGTTGAAGTTGTTTCAACCACTACATGATGATGGTGGTTGAAATGGATCTCAAAAAGACCAGACTGGAGGTATGGGTTTGGGAAACATAAGGTAGAACTTGACATTATGATACTGGATTGGATCACTCAGAGAAAATAGAATATGTACAATGAGAATAGAGATTGGTTATGGATCTCTCTTTAGCAAATACTACCAGCTTCTCTAAGCCCTTACTGTGCTCAAAGATCTTGATTATTAAGAAAACACAGTAATAACCATTGGATGCTTACTAAGCAAACCAGAGGTTATACGAATACTACATATAGGATCGTGATCTTGTCTTTGTTTTACTATTGAGAAGGGGAGTAAACATACCAATATTAAATAAACTCAAAGTACAAACAAGTAGCAATTTAATTAAAAAAAAACTGTTATATTGTAAAATTAACTCAATACCTCTAAAGTGCTGAAGGATTGTGAAAGGACGACAAAAGGGTGTAATGAATCAGAAGTTTATTTAAGGTAAGACACATTCAACTATTGCATCACTACTTTTGGCTTTGGTTTAAGAATTAGGTATGCAGTATGAAAGAATAAAGGAAATGCCACAATTGTACCAATACAAAGTAGAATGGAATTCTTTGTATATTTCACTCAAATTTTAAACTGTGTATCATGTTTAGAGACAATGCCTCAAATTCATATAAATTTTTCATTGTGAACTGTATTTTAACTAGAGGCAACTAGTAAATTAGAAGTTGGCATGCTGCTTCGAGTCCTAAGAGATTTTTTTTTAAAACTTGGCAGATCCATTTTGTGCATACTCACAGTATACTTATTAGTATTTCTTCTATTTTATACAAATGCATAGACCTCTGGAGAAAATTTAACTGCAAACCAAAATGCTTTCAAATTTTTTAGTTTTATAATTTGGTTTATTCATAAGTAATTGAAAAAGTCTTTAACATATAGAATGTACATGTTTGACAGTTATCGGCCTGGGTATTTCTCAATCAAACTGATTTTCTTCTATTTTTTATGAAGTGTTGTGCCCACTAAAATCAAAATTGCTGTGAGAATGGTCCAAAGGCTGCTTTATTTTTTTTTTTACCATATGTACACTGTAATATACACTGGTGATTGAAAATGATGAGCATTTCTGCATCAGCTGCAGTGATGGAGTTGACACTGTGGCTAAGTGGCTAAGTGGATTTAGAAGGAAGGAGAAAACTCCTGGGAAAATGCCTCACTCTCTAGAATATTATGCTAGAGGGCTTGCTCTTGCTGTTGCCTTTTAATAAAATTCTGGAATTTCAGAACTGAAAATCAACAATATGATGTTTATTAACTTGGAAAGTGCTTGAGTACAAGGATTGCACCATTTTTTACTATTATTTTTCCAAGGTTACTTGGTGCCTGGTTGGGAGCTCAATATATAATGGGAACTAACTGAATAAATAAATTAATCTTGTCATTTTCTGGATGTTAATTGAGAAGCAAAAGGACCTGGTGAAGGTCACATAGCTAGTCAATAGAACTAGAGTGCAAAAGATTGTCTCTCTTCCCTCTCCCCCTACCCCCTGCCCCAGCTGGTTTGGCTCAGTGGATAGAGCATCGGCCTGCAGACTGAAGGGTCCCAGGTTTGATTCCAGTCAAGGGCATGTACCTTGATTGCAGGCACATCCCCAGTGGGAGGTGTGCAGGAGGCGGCTGATCTGTTTCTCTCTCATTGATGTTTCTAACGCTCTATCCCTCTCCCTTCCTCTCTGTAAAAAATTCAATAAAATATATTTTTTAAAAAGGATAAGAAAAAGAAAGATTATATCTTCCCCATGCAAAGAGTGTGGTGGATCTGGATGGCTCTCCAGAGCCACAGTCCTCCATGTGGTGGCTTAGAATTCCAGGTGCATCTTCTGTTCTGTGTTCATCTTCTGGCAACTCAATATCAACATTCGCTTCTACAATCACCACAGTGGAGGAAGACAGGGAATTCGGAGAATCACAGACAGACTTTTAAAAGTTTCTGCCTGGAGTGACCCATCCCTTTTCATAGTTCACTGGTGCAGTGAAGGCTTGGGTGTTGGGGTGGGGCAGGAGAAGTGTGGAGAGAGTTAATGGGGAGGGATAGAAGGGGAGATCTGTAATACTTTCAACAATAAAGATAAATAAATAAAAATTAATAAAAATAAAATCAGTGTTTTTAAGAGTATCTACTAACAAGATTGTAATGATCAAATAATACATACAAATCCCTTAGAACAATTCCAGGGTAACATAATAAACACCAAATGTTAGCTCTTAAAAAACAAAACAAAACAAAAAAAAACAGATGAGACATGATTATTGCTGCAGGGATAAATTAATGGTAAAGAATAAAGATTCAAGATATAGCCTCAAGCATATATAGACACTTGGTAGATTTTTTTTTAAGAAGAAAATGAAATGTTTTTAAAATAGTATGGGAACAGGTGACTCTCCAGATTGAAAAGATAAAATTAGACCCCTCTCAGACATTATATACATAAATCAACTCCAGATAGATTAGAGGCCTAAATATAATCAATGAAACTTTAGAAGTAGAAGAAAATATTGAAGTTTACCTTTATGACTTCAGGATAAGAACGGATTTCTTAAGACCTAAGTGAATAGAAATCATGAAGCAAATACGAATAACAGATTTGGCTACACAAAAAGTTTAAATTTCTCTATAACAAAACATACCATAACAAAGTTTAAAGGTACGAACAAGCTATAAGAAGGTATTTGAAATATGTATAACTTACACACAAAATCTTCTATAAATCAACACAGTAGAGACAACCAAAGAAAAAATTTAATGAAGAACATGAACAGAAAATTCACCCAATAGGAAACTCAAATGACCAAAAATGTAAGATGCTTAGATTCACTAAAAATTATTAAAATAATTGATTTAAAATTTTTTAAACGATAACCCCATTTTACAATGATCAAAAACTGGTGAGAGGGTGGGAGTAAGAGGGAGAGATCAACCAAAGGACTTGTATGCATGCATATAAGCATGACCAATGGACACAGACACTGGTGAGAATAAAGAATGGTTACAATAAAAGTCTTGTCAAATACAATACATAAAAGAATGAGGATATTTATAAAGAATAAATAAATATTTAAAAAATAATAAAGAAAAAAGAAAAAAATAAATAAAACAGGTTTACATATTTAGG